ATATTTGATGGACTGTGGTAGGGAAGCAAGGTTGCATATGGTCATCGTGTTTCGTCACAGCCATGGAAACCCTGACTAAGACAATTTGGGCAGTGCTTATCTAGTCAGGGCACGTCAACAGCTGGCTATTTTGCACTTGTGTTATGAGCAGGTTTTTCGGAAGGCATTCTTTAGACGAACAAGGTGGAAGGCTGAAGGTTGCTACATAGGTTTGCTGACACAATACACACAATTCTGGCAACGAATGGCAAAGCAGTGATGAGCCAACACATAATCTGAAACCCACCCTGCTCAGGCCTGGTCCTCGGGGGACTAAAAGGCTGAACTAAAGGTAAGTCTCTTACCACAGAGCGGCCCACAGAGTTTGACAGACTGCAACTGGTGACTCATAAGAGCCTGAAGGAAGTCTTCAAGATCTTCATGTAGGGCAGCTCCATCTTAAAATGCCTAATCTTGTTTTGCAAGGAGGAAATGTCAATGTTTTCAATATCAAAAATGTGAACTGATAATACATACACCAGAGTAACATGACAGATAGTAAAGATTCCAAAAATCAAGAGCTATTTAGTATTTACAACACTCTTTTCATGGGTCAAAAAGATAGGCCTGGTGGTTCATGCCTTTAATTCTAGCACTCAGAAGGTAGAGGCAGGGTGGTTTCCAGTGAGTTTGAGACCAGCAGGCTACACAGTGAAACCTTATCTCAAATGAACAGAGACTAAGATGGAGCTAAATTGTACAGTGATTACCTAACATACACGAGGCCCTGGTTTATTCTTGCTGCCCATCCCCACCAGCCTATCTCTGACTTGATATTGTTAAAGTCTGTGTACACAGGTACATATGTGTATATTCTTCCCCCCTCGCACAGGCACACGTGTGGGTGCACTGCCCTGCCCCCATGAAAAAGAATGAAAAGCTACGGTTTTCTTAACTTCTTGACAGATCTGAGGACTGCTTAATCATCTGCATCCCAGCACATATATTACTACACAGTAAGAGAGCATTTATTGATGGTGGTGGTGGTGCGCGCCTTTAATCTCAGCACTAGGGAGGCAGAGGCAGGTGGATCTCCAAGTTCAAAGCCAGCCTGCTCTACACAGTGAGTTCCAGGACAGCCAAGACTACACCGAGAAACCGTCTTGAAAAACAAAACAAAACACAAACAGGAGCATTTATCTGTGAACAGCCACAGGTTTTAAAGACAATGAATACACTTCAGCTCTGAAGATACTTATGAAGACAGACTAAGTTCCAGACGTAAGAGAAATGACGGGTTTACAGATAGGATCTCATACCATAGCCCAAGCTGGCTTCAAATTCTCACTAGTCTTCCTACCTCAGCCCAAGTGCTGGGATTTCAAGTGTGAGTTACCATGCTTGGCAGCTGTTGTAATTACCGGGACTGGATCCATGGTAACAGCTACCTAACAGCTCCCAGGTTTAGCACAAAGAAAAACCACACAAGGAAGACTTGGGTAAGGGTCCAGAGAAATGGAATGCAGACTCCGAAGCACATTTAGGCTCCCACATTTAGAAATGAGGATTTCCTCCATCCCCACTGGGACTTTTAACATTCATGGCACTTACTTTACAACTATAAAAATGAGCTAGGCCTGAAGGCCTAGGCCTGTGATCCCAGCTACTTGGGAGGCTGAGGCAGGAGGACAAATTTAAGGCCTGCCCAGAATACATAGTGAGTATTCCCAGCCTGGGAGACTTAATGAGACCTGGTCTCAAGATTGCAAAGTAAAGAGAGAGCTGGGGATGTAGCTGAGTGGTAAGGCACTTGCCCGGTACACCTTAGGCTGGGAATTGAAGCCTGGTACTATAGGTATGTACAGACATCATACAAACCCGTCTTCTAAGTGAACGGCAATGATTTCCCCCATCTTTCTACCTTTCTAACATGGCTGACTCATTCAACTAACAGCACTGTGGACCAGTGTTCTCAACCTTCTCCCTGCTTCAGGAGCCATTACTCCATGATAGGGGAGGGATGTTGACACACATTCTACACATCTCAACAAGATGTCTGGATTTCACAATGCAAAAGATAAAATCAACTGGCATTACACAAGTTTTCCAAGTCCCCACCTGTAATTCCATTTCTGCTGTAATGATGTTTACTGAGCACTTACTATCTGCCAAGTACCCAGGTGCACCGCATATAGCAAACGACTTTAATTCCCATGGGAACCTCTGAGACCCCTAATAAACCTAATAAAATGATCCTCCTGAGGACAGCAAGGCAGAGTTTAAGAGAACCTCCCTCAAGATCACAAAGACAGTAAGTGACAGACCTTGGGGTCAAATATGGAACATGTGGTCCTTGGGTTTTCGGTCTAACCCTTTATTCCAAATGCATGCAAAGAAACCATTATCAAACAAAGGATTTGTTCTAGCACATTGCTTTATGCTATATACAAACTGCATCTTGTTATTAAGAGTGCCAGTATCTCATGCCTGCTGGTGTGGCTGGGTGTCCTGCACTCCGCCCCACAGATCCACCTGAACACGGCCCTGAGACCTCACCGCTTTCCCATTCAGAATGATGAACTTGGCTTTCCTATTACTTTCAGTGAAACTGTGTTCACCCTAAGATGATAGGATTGTTGGAGAGCCACTGACAGACCGATTCAGTCTTTTGATATGGAATCTGCTCCTCTAATGAGGAAGGAATGCCGATTTGGAGAACCAATTAAAACTAATTAGAAGTTTTAAATACTTCTAGGCACTTCAGATAGAAAATGAAGTTCAAGGTGAACTTCATTTTCAGAAATGCACTAATTAGAACCAATTTAGATTCTTAAAGGTCTGCCTTCCTTGTACAGACAGGATCAACAGCAGAGAAAACCATTTATAAATCACAATGAATGCAGCTTCATGAATGACAGAGGTTGAACAGAATGAAACAAAAAGCTACACCCAATACAACTCTTAGTAAAACGATCTCATTTAGCCTCTGTCATGTTTTCTTCAGCAAGGCACTCCTAATGGGCAGGCTTATTTTGCAAATCAAATTTAGTTCAATTTTAAAAACTGACGGTGACTATAATTAAAAATCCCATTTTTACAGCTGCCTTGTTAGAAGCTATTTAAAGACAAAGACGTGCATGCCACCTACAGGGGACCTTTAGAACCACAGTCCCAGTTCTATGTCCCACACTCTGAATTCATATCCAAAAATTGTACTCATTACAGAAAGCTCGAGGAAAGGGTGACTAAGAAATATAAAAAAAACCTATTTGGATTATGACTTCTTATGGTAACCAAAAACAACCTAATTTTACCAAATATGATCCACAGACACACAGCTGTAAACAGGAGCAGGAGACGCAGTTACACAGCCACTACAGCCTTTAAAGTTCTACACAGAACATGGAGACTCAGGTCATTGGTGATGAAGTCTGAAATCTGACCTCTCTCTCCTCAGATTTCTCTACATTTTCTGGCACTCTGACAGTGATTGCAGTTTCTGAAGTTGTTCCACAGGTCTTTAGAGTCAACTCTCATTGTATGTGCGCAGGACAGGCCCTTCTAGACACAGCCATTTCCTTTTCAGACGTTCTTTTCTCTCTGCCCTCCCTCTCGGGAAGTAGACACAAGTGACTTTATGGTGATGTTCTCAATTTAAGATCAACATTAAAGCTATCTGGAGTTCTTCAACATGTCTCTTGTTTAATTGGGCTTGAATGAAGCTTGAGCATAGCACAGCTTTTGGCATTTGTTTGCTTCCAGTTTCCCAGGTGACCTTACCATGTCAGTGCAGGGCTGCAAGCCCATCCCAGCTGACTTCTGCCTGCGTTCTGGAAGTAGTTTGCTGCCCCACTGTGCACAGCAGCAGACCCTACTTGTTCAAAGGGATGCTGATTCATCTTTAGCAATTTCCTTAAAACTAGCAATTACTTGGACAGTTGGTATGCTTTGGCTGATGCCCAGCTAGTGGCATCACCTCATCCATTGTTGCACCTGCCATTTATCTTTTGAGACAGTCTTGTTACTATGTGACCCAGAATGGCCTTGAACCGGTGATCCTACTGCCTCCACCTTCCAAGTGTTGGGGTTCCAGGTATGCACTGGGCAGTTCTCTCTGGACATACACATTGCTGCTGTCTTCCAGGCCCCAAATCACAGATCAATTCCTAGGCTAGTAAAGTCCTCCAGCTTCACGGTGCTCACAGCAGCCCAGTTTTGCCCCAAGCAAAGTCACTCATCCAGTCCACACACATCTGAGGACAGGTGCTGGTCTCCCCTTCAGAGGACCCGTTACCCTTCTTGTGGTGGTTCCCCAGTACAAAGCCCTGTTCCATCAACAGGTCCCAATGTGCTAAATAATGAACTCTTTCAAAATAGGGGTTCTGTGCGTGGAATGCAGTTGTCACTAAAAGTATTCTCTAGAGGGAACCCCTCAGTTAAGTCCTGCAGTAGAGCTCAGTGTTGGCCTCATTCCACAACAGGGAATTTTAAGATCCATTTCATTCTGTTACAAATTACTGTCACTCCTTTAGGCAGTGACTGCAGGACAGGTTAGGGAGTGGGTGGAGCTAGTAGGGAGGGCAGGCAGGCAGGGTGTGGTTTCCAGAAAATTGGTACTAAGTTGCTCTTCATGGCTAAGGCAGCTGGACTACATATGCAAAGTAGAGTTCCAAGGAGGAAGAAATAGGAAGAGGAGCAGGGTGGGAAGGGTTGTGAGGGTTTGAGGGCATCTAAGGTCAATGATGGCTATGAGTTCCACTTGTAGAGCAAGCTACAAAGTTAAGCTATTACTTCCAAAGCATCACACACTCATTCAGCTTCTACTAACTGCCCAGGGCAAACTGCTTCAAGAGGCGGCACATACAGACATAAAAACCAAAGAAAGCTCCAGAATAAAGCATTGCTCTGAGCTCTGATTCTTGTCTCAGTGTCTCTAAGGAGCTGCTGTTGCTTTCTGGAAGGCAGTCATTTGCTATCAATGTTCATCTCTTCAAAGCCATTTGGAAGCATTCAGAGTCACAAGGTTTTAAAAATGATGTTTATTTCATCAACACATGAAATGTGCCATCTAGCACCAATGACTGTAAATTCCAGAATTCCATCTGGTTACTACTTTTTGGAACCAGTGCTGTCCTTCAAGTCATTGACAGATTAGTCCATTTGAGCAGATGATTATTGGAACAAAAATTGGAAAACATAGTAAAAAGCATTTGATAGGATGTGTACTGAACTAATTTTTAATAGAAAAAAATCATTTTGTGTAAACATGATGTCTTTAATATCTGTATCTTAAAAGCAGATTTTCTTGGAAGGCATATACAAGAAAACTGAACCATGTGAACACAAACACCTGTAACTGGCTTTCTTTTCTCACCAGCCTTCGGAGACAGCATCTGTCTAGTGACTCACTACAATAAGTACCCTTATCTCTCGAGAAAGCTCACCAACCTGTGACGGAGGAAAACAAAACTATGGCCAATAAAGATGCAAGATAATATTTTTAGTTTCTTTTAAAAGAACATGTAAGTATTAAAATATAAGGGAAAAAAAACACTACTGCACAACTACATAAAAGTGTGACTGTCTTTGAAATTTACTTGAAAGACAAATTAAAATTTACTGCTTCCAAGTTAAACAAATAATGTACAAATACAGTAAGAGATAACTATGATTACTAATTGGGTCAACTTATCTCTGGTCTTTCTTCCTTTTTTTCTTTTCTTTCTTGAGGCAAGGTCTCGTTATGCCTAGAATTCACTCTGTAGAACAAGCTGGTCTGGAACTCAGAGATTCCCCTGTTTCTGCTTCCCAAATAGTGGGATTAAAGACGTGCACCACCATGACCAGCCCTCCAAACATTACTATATAGTAACAGATAGATATCATTAGAAATTGGATCGACTTATCTCTAGTTTCTTGAAAATGCACTGAGTCAACCATGCTGCTTCAGACTTGAGGCTAACTTCAAATTTATTTTTATTTGGATGATCCCAGTGTTTCTTTTAAGCAGACCTTGGTGCTGAGCTAGAGAACCTAAGTAGGATTTCAAGCCCATTGCAGGCAGGCGTTGCAGTCCGTGGTGGTGGTCATCCATGTGCCAGGTCTCTAAGGTCATGCTGGAGAAACTGTAAAGGCAATCTTGCCATGCCGTATGCACATGCTCTGTTCACATCTTTACCTTATGCCGGGTGTTAGGGGCGTGAGTAAGATGGAAAAGAGTTTCACGATGGTAGTTTCTATAAGAAAAGGGTGGGGGTGGGTTAAACATTAATTTCATATCACCAACTATTTATTAAGTATTTTATACTACATGATACACCCAGTGATAGCTAAATGCAATTCAAGTGAACAACCATGTACAATGTTTAGAGATGGTCTTAGTTGACATCTAAAGCAATCAAGGAGAAAGCAGATGTATGCATAGTACCAAAATTAAAAACCTCTGTGCTGAAGAAACTACACTACCAAAAAAATTTATGACACCCACAGGATAGGAGAAATTATTTGCAAATCACACATTTGGTATCAACAGGCAAAGGAGTCTTAGAATATTAAAGACAACTCAATATGAAAATGGGCAAATATTTCTCTGGTGACACAGGAGATACTGAGTATCATTAATCATTAAGAAAAAGAAAATAACTGCAATGATATCCTATTCCACACCTACTACAATAGCTACCGTCAAAGTGAGAGACGGGAAAGCGCTGGTGAGGATAGGGCAGTGAAAGTCCTTGCACACCAACGGTGGGAATGCAAAGACAGCGGAGCAGCTCTGGGAAAAGCTTGGTCCCTCTTCACCATACCTATGTACCCTCTAGGTTACGACAGACCAGGACTTGGCACACACACACACACACACACACACACACACACACACACACCAATGTTCACAGAGGTAGTATTCCTTACAGGCAAAAGGCAAATGAGGGGAGTGTTATCAGCTGACGAATGAATGTGTGGATAAGATGATCAGAGCCATGAGCAAGCATGTGAGCCAGACATAGAAAGGAGTATAGGGTAAGGAAGGACACACAGAGGAACCCCGAATGAAAGGAGCTGGACACAAAAGGAGACACACTGAGATTATACTTGTAAAGCACACAGAATGGTCAGTATGTAGTGAGGGCTAGTGCCATTTCTTTTTTGGATGATGAAAACACTTAAAAATTAGGAAGTGGTGCTTTATACAACTCTGAATATACTAAAAACACCAAGACGTATGCCTTGAAGAAATGAGAATTATATCAATTTGAAAAGGATATAGGTTTTGAAATAGGTCTTTGCAAAAAACTAAACAACCCTTTATATCCAGAAACATAAAACTATTTATGTCTCAAAAAAAAAAAAAAAAAAAAAAAAAAAAGCTACTTTTAAAAAAAGTACAGCAGCTTTAGCAAACACTGTAATCCCTTAAGGCACAAAATGTATTTTCTTGGCCCTTTTAGCACATTCCACATCAACACCAACAAACCTGAATTATAACTCACTTACCTTCCTTTCCTTAGACTGAGTTTTAACACCCACTGCTGGTCCCTAAAACTATCAATAGAATCCTTATCATCAGAAAACACAGTGAACAAATCCAATCATTTTGAAATCAGAAAGAAGTGAAATTCACTAAATTTCAGCCTCATCAGTCAAACTGAGGTCACAGCTACAAACGGGTACAAGATGGAGACACCATTCTCCCCTCTACAGGCTTGACAGGCAGGGGCAACAGAGGCAATCCACATAAATGTTGTGGCAGGATGGGAGACACATATAAAGTTCCATTTAATTGGGGGTACTTGTCTTTTACAGATCAACCCACCCTCTTGCCTTTTAAAAGGAAAAGGACAATGACTAAATTTAAGTTACGACAAGCCTTTTAAAAAGTCAGAGAGTCAAGAGGAAGCTACAGAGAGCCAATCACTTATCTGAGGTTATGTTTAGTGCCATAGTTTGGAAAAATGCCCTTCAAAGGTCTGGTCTCCAGCTCGAGCACTTGGAGGAGTGTTGGGACTGTTAAGATGTGAAGTATAACGCCAGGTCTTCTGGGCAAGCCCTTGAGGACTAGTTTTGGACTTGCTCCTCCCTTTCTCTCTATTCATCCTCAGCTGGAGGTAAACAGGTCTCTTTTGTCACACTCTTGCCAATACCTGCAGCTTGCTCACAAGGCTCAACAGATAAGGCCAACCAAACCCAGGACTGAAACTGGCCAAGATAAATTTTTCTGTATTTCACTGTCTTAAAGTAACCGCTGATGGGCACACTCAGTTACACAGCCATTTAATTTACAGCTGAAGAGGACTTTAAAAGGGTCCACCAGGCAGGGGATTTAGCTCAGTGGCAGACAGCTTGCCCATCACATGCAAGGGCATGGGTTCTACCCCCAGCATGGCAGAAACAAAGCTGGCCGGCCATACAGTTTTTGAGATAAGGTCTCATTATGTAGCCCAGCCTGGCTTCCAACTGCACAGCCTTCTATTTCTTGAGTTCTGGGTTGTGACCAAGAACCCAAGTCAGGACAGGCCAGAGATGGAAATCTTGAGTGTCAATGCCTGCAGCCAGTCAGTCACCATTGCTATTTCACTATGTAGAGGTGAAGAACTTGACAACACCTTAGCCCACATCAGCTGGTGAGATCTCAGAGTAGGAAGAACTATGAATACACGTACTGATTTTTTCTTTTTGATGTATATAATACGAATGTCTTCACTTCGGTATTCCTCATCATGTTTGTCCAAAGGGATTTCCTCAAAGTCAAAGTCTAGTTGGAGGAGCTGTAAATTTAAAGGACACACATGTTATACTCAGTAATTTGGACAGACTTATGGTAATGAAGTCAGGGTGATGATCACTGCTGGAGAATGACCGACCAGTAAGGGCAACGTGGAAACCTTCTCATTTCTGTATCTTTATGTTGGAGCAGTTATTTGGATGAAAATGCATGAGCTGAGAACTTGATATACGTGTGCTGGACATGTTTTAACTAAATACAAATTATTTTAATTATACATAATTTCAAAAGTTCATTAACATTGCCTCATAATCATGAAAAACATGGAACTCAGTGTACGTTATCTGAGGGAGTCATATACATGCTTTTGTCATTAAGCCAATTTTCAATGGGCTGAATTTGTGCCCATAAAAGGATCTAGGTCACCGCTTGGAGGAAGAGTGAAGGACAGATATCGCACCTACCCCCCCATCCACTCCTCCCGACAGGTAACGGCTTCCACGGGGAGTTGACATAATGGCACATTAAGTTGGGGCAGGACCAAGCCCCTCCCCACTGCATTAAGGCTGAACATGGCATCCCCTCACAGGGAATGGGCTTTGACAAGTTGGCTCATGCTCCAGGGATAAATCTGGTGACTAAAACCCTGAAAGTGATTAACTAGGTAAAATGTATAATAAAAATATATAGGAAAATACAGAACTAAAAGTCACCACTTGCACATTTGTATCAGGTATTCTTTAAAACACATCGCTGATAAGCTTCAGAGCCAGTCTGTATTGAACAGTCTTGTAAACGGTCTCTGGAAAGACAAACTTGTCATCACCAGTCCCCGACACTGCTCTGCGGAACAATATGGACTACTGAGAACAGAGACGACTCAAGACTGGGAAGATCCGAGAACGGTGGGCTCTGTGCAGGAGGGCTGTGGAGGATCTTCTCCTCAGGTTATCAAGAGAAAGTTTTCCCCAGATGAAACTGTCAGAGCAACCACATACAGCTCCCCAGAGGATGACTGTTACACACAATACTCACCTCAAAATATTTCTTCTCAATTTCTGGATTTTTCCCCATTGTACGTTGTTCATAGCAACATATAATACATGTTTCAGATCCACTGAGCTCTTTTAATGTTTTTAGCAATGGTTCCAATGACTATTTAAAAAACAAAGGACAATTTTCAATTTATTACTTCAAGAATTTCCTGTTACACAAAGGCGGCAGGAGGTGAAGAGGCCAACTGCCCTATAATCAAACCATTCTGAATCAATACCACAACATTCCACAACTAGATTGTTAAACAACCACTGACTAAGCAACAATTATACTGATTTCTATCAACAACAAAATCCTAAGGATTAGATCTTGTTTCCACAGGAAAACAGGCAGAATTGACTTGTTTCTTTTTGTTTGAATAGGGGTGTATTAAATAGACTAGGCTGGCATTGAACTTGCAGAGATTCCTCTATTTTAGCCTCCCAAGTGCTGGCATTACAGGAGTTGTGCTTAGTTAGATACAAATCTTAAAAGTCTAATTTCATTTAACCTAAGTTAATGTGGTATTTAAACAATCAACAATATATTTACAAAAGCCTGACCCTAGTGGTGTAAGATTTATTTTTATTATTTTAATTATGTGCATGTGTGTTTTCTGTGTATGGGCATGTGCACAGGTGTTAAGTGACTGCAGAGGCCAGAGAAATTGGATCCCCCTCTGGAAGAATATGTGCTCTTAACTGCTGACCCCATATTTGAACATCAGTTGGTGCAACAGCTGTTAGTTTAAAAACAAATACTGCCCAGCACTGTATAAATTGCTATGTAAAGAAAATTCATTCCACAAGTGTAATAAATCTTGTCACTGAAAATTAACTAATTCTTGGGAGGGTCTAACTCTGTGGCCTATGCTGGCCTAGCATTCATGGCAACCATCCTGCCTGGGCCTGCTCCTATGTCCTGGGATTCCAGGTGTTAGCCACCATGCCCGACTTGCATCTTAATTTTCAATGTCCTGGTTAGCAGTGAGTGGGGAAGAAAGAAAGGAGGGAGGGATGGGTTAGCTTTTCATAATATATCCAAATGGGAAAACCCTTTTTTAAAAAACTTACAAAAACCCTTCGGTAGAGTGCATGTAAGTTTCCCAACCACTATTCGCAGGCCTGTCTGCTTATCCTGAACTGTATACACACGCTGACCATGACGATTCTGTCTTCTCTAATATCCCACACCCAGAGCTGTTACAACGTGAAGAAACGCGGGCTTCCTTCCGGCTCACTCAACACTCACCTCCTCATAGTATATGCAGTCAGCCATCAAAATGTAGTCTGGTGAAGTCAAGTCTTCTAGTTCTTCCCCCCTTAAAAATGTCAAACGTATGTCTTTAACCGACGCTTTAACAATTTAAAATATTCATTTCAGAAACGAGAAGCAGAAAGAAAGTTTCCCTCATTAGCCACGCCTTGAGCAGAATGCAATTTAAAACAAGCTGAAAGGCCATACAAACCATTTCAGTACCTTGGCTTGAACAGAACCAGTCACAAGATGCTTGTTCATATTAATGTTCATTTTCAGCAAGTCTTGCAGCTCCTCGAGATCGGTGACTACAACATCTGCCCTAAAAAACAGGGCCGGGCCTCGCGGGGGGGGCCCGGTGCCCCGGGGCGGGGCCGCCAGCGCCTCCCCGCCAGCTCTTACCCGAGGGTCGCGGCCATGAGTCCCACAGCCCCGGTGCCCGAGCCCAGCTCCAGCACCGAGCGGCGACTCAGCGCGTGGGCCCCGTCGCCGGAAAACGCCGGCGTCTCCAGGTACTTGGAAAGGACGATGGCGGCGTCCCACACCACGCAACCCACGCCTCCGGAGCCGTACTGCTGTAGCCGAAGGGCTGTCCCATCCCGCTTCTCCAGAACCCGCACGAAGCTCCACAGCGGGTCCTCCGCCTCCGGCTCCGACGCGGTCGCCATTGCTGCCGCTACAGGCTGTGGCACGTGGTGACGTCACGCTCACGCACGGCCCGCGCCTCCCAGCGGCAGAGCGGCTGTCCACAGCGCGTGCGTGAGTCTCAAAGCCCGGAAGGCAGCTGGAGCCGGCGGACCTACCTGTAAGCGGCCGGGTTGGCTGCTACTGAAGCAAGCAAGCAAGCAACAGTGCTTTTCGTTGTCTGGAGAATGGCTCACACAGAGCTGTTGGCTATAGATCTAGGCAGCTATAGATCCAGGTCCTATCACAAATGGTTATGCTCAAGAAGTTTCCTACTGTGCATCTGTCTTTTTATATGAGTACATAAAAAAGATTGGCTGGGAACTTGCTACTTGCTCTCAAAGGAAAAAAAGGTTAATCCTCTAATATTTACATCCCCTGGGGCCAAAAGGTGGCCAGCAAGACCAAGTACCTGAATTCCAGGACTCACTTAGTAAAGGAGAGAATGGCCTCCTGCAGACTGGCCTGACTTTCACACTGGATCTGTGGTATGCACACCACATAAATACTCACACAAAGGTGATAAATGGATAGATGATATATATATATATGATAGATGAGAGATTCTTGTAGATTTTTCTCTTTTCAGCTTTGTTGGTGGTTTTGTTTTTTGCAGGATGGTCTCCTGTATCCCAAGTAGGCTTCAAACTCATTACATAGCTGAGTCTGACCTTGAACTCCAGCTCCTTCTCTCTCGACCTCTCAACTGTTGGAACTACAGCTGTATGCCACTGAACCCAGCTTTCTTTTGTTCTTTGTGATAAAAAAACAATATTGCAAATCTTTTAAAAATTAAGACTGAGGTGATTTATTAATCTTGTTAAGAACTCTGATACAAAGCACAGTCAAAGGCCACAGACCAGTAGATAAACAACGTGGCTTTTGGCTACTTTACAACTGCTGCTACTGCTCTATCGGCATAACACCCTTTGACCACTTCGAACGAGAACGTCCAAATGACAAAAGCTTTATCCTCTGCCTGATTAAAAATTTAATAAAGCTTTAAGTATTTTCTGTTCAAATATTACCAATCTGGAAAAAACTTTTAAAAAATTTCAATTAACACGAGATTAAAGAAAGTTAATAGGTTTTGAAGACAAGGCAGTTGGCAGTTGGTTCCTATGCCATAAGAAACTTTTGTTCTTGACTTACAAATTAGTAAAATAGCAGATTGTATTATAGGCCTCAAGTCACTTAAATTTATATAGGTTATTAGCATTATCTTTAAATATATACAATATAAATAAACTGTACATACATGGCATATTAACTTTGTTTTCCCAAACAAGAGGCAAATCATTAGCTAAAGACACCATACACTGCAAACAAAAGGTGCATCTTAATGAGATACATGCCCCTTTTCTTCTATAATTGGGTTATATAGAATTGTTTGTAATTTTAACAAAATAATAAACACAGTGCATTCTATTATTTCCATTCTATTTTCTGGTTTTGTCTTCAGCAGCAAATACTGGCATTTAAGACATGGCATCAAAGAGTTTAAGAACAGTGGGTGTTATTCACTAGATGTAAAAACCAAATAAAGTTAAAACACAGAAGATAGTCAGAGGGTTTAAAAACCAGTAACATCACAGTACATCTTTGTATCTGTGTAAATTTGTTGCCATGAAAAGGCATCTATTACTCAAATTTGAGAAATTCCTCGAGAACACTATCCCCTTTCAGTGCAGTCAGTATCATTTTAAGCCATATTTTAGCAGAGTCTACAGTGCAAATAGAAATTCATTATACTGGCCTTTGGGCAGCACTGAGAAACTGAGACAAGGCAATGCTACTGATCACCTGAGGGTTATGGTGAAGGGCTTTTGCATTTTAATTTTTAGAGTTCTTTTCTTGATTTTTTTTTTTTTTTTGAGACAGGGTTTCTATGTGTAGCCCTGTCTGTCTTGGTACTCGCTCTACAGACCAGGCTGGCCCAAACTCAGAAATCCATCTGCCTCTGCTTCCAGAGTGCTGGGATTAAGGGTGTGCACCACCATGCCTGACGGTTTTTCTAATTCTTAAAAGCTTATTTGATCAGTAGCATTTTTGTAAGAGCATTATTTGTAAAAAGTACTAAAATACTATGCCTCTTTTGAATAAATTAAAAACCTTTACAAATACTATTCCAGTGTCAATGACTACGCATGGCTAAGGTCATTGAGGAGTTTCTGCATTTTCAAGCAAAGGCAGTCTGTACAATGGTGGGTGTGAAAGTTCCCGTTTGTAGGTCTTTGGTGGCAGTTTGGGCAGGTGAGGGCTTGAATTCTGCCTTGGTGGAACAGGAGGAGCTGGAGGATGAGTGAGATTGTTGTGACTGGAACTGAGCAAATGGCTTCTGCGTGGCACTCGTGGAGAGGGTGTGCTGGGAGGAGTGCTTGGTGAATTTGGACATGTACTAACGTCTCTGAGCCAGTCTGGGTCTCTGTGAGGATGTCCCAGTGGAGGTGGCTGAAGATTAAATGGACAGTTTATAAAATGTTCTGGAGGCCGAAGAGGAACTGGTGGAGGGGTGTCAGGAAGAGGCTCTCTTGGAGGAGGTGGAGGTGGACTGTGCACAGGCCCATCAAACGCACCAGTGGGGACAGGAACTCTTGGCTTTATCTTCGGAGGAGGAGGCTGTCTTGGTGGGATAGCAGGAGGGTCATCAGATTTCATAGTTCCCTAAACAAAACAAAAAGGGGCATGTCTAATCTCTTGAACACTGTGTAAGATAATTTTAAAGCACTGCAAAATTCTTCTGTGTCAAGTTAAATCTAGAGGCCCAAATTAAATGAATGTGGTTAATTATCACATTCCTGACTAAATTATTTCATTTAATTCTGGGCTCAGTTTAACATTTGGATATATAAAATGTTTTCACTGAATGTTAAAAACATAGAGCCCCATATCATCTTGCTTTGTTTCCATCATTTCAGAAATTTATAAAGCTTATTTATGGCAACAGGTCAGTAAAAATGATACAGTTTTACAGCCACAAAAGGACATGGAATCAGCGGTATTTAATGCTTAGCTTCTACTCACTGAGCATATACTTCTATTTTTCTCCATGGTGCTTAAAGCAGTGGATCTCAAAGTGGGATTCAGGGACCAGCAGTGTCAGTCTTAGCAGGAGATGGCTTAGCATAGCCAATTCCCAGGTCCAACTGTAGCCCTATAACCTGGGGCTCAACAACCCACTTGTAAGACGTTTTTCAGAAGATTCAGACATGCCCTTACATTTGAGTAGCACTGTTCTAAAGTTTTCAGGTTCTTTCAAATAGGAATTTCACCCCGCCACACACACACACCTACCGAATCTGTACAAGAAAGACAATGTACTTCTGATTATCAGAATTTTCCCACTTTTTAAAAAAGTTTTTTAAAAAATTTATTAAATGACTAAAGTATTTTTCAAATATGACTATCTAAGTGTTGAAAATCCATAGAGTGTGGGTAAATTGTGATTGACACACTCTAAAAATACTCTAAAGATGAGTATGATTTTGAAGATTCACAACTTTGCATAAGTTGAGGCAAACCCAGGTCTAGATGACTACCTTGGAATTTGAAGCATCATGGTCAACTTTTTTTCGAGGAGGAAGTGGAGGAGGAATCAGTGGCTCTTCACTCAGTTTGTGTAAACTTCCACATGAGCTGAAGAAAGTCTCTGGGGGAGAAGAAACTGGTTTATGTTCACAGTACAGGTACAGGACAAAACTCCACTACAGCTTATGATCGTTTTTTTGGTACCATGGTTGTCAAACCATAGTTGTTTGTTTGTGCATCTGTCTTCTCCACCAAAATTCTAAGCATTAGAGGACACCTTGTGCATGTGTTTATAACCCTAGGATTTACCATGGTGACTGGCATGTGGTAGCTGAAGGTACATTATTAAGATTAATGATGAAATTCTGAACTGGCCCTGGTGGTACAGGCTCGTAATTACAGCAACTTGATGTACTAAGGGAACAGGGTCACAAACTTTAAGGCCAGTTTGGACAACTCAGTGACTGTCTCAAAAAGTATGTTAAAAGAAAAAATAAAGTTGAGGATGTAGTTCAGTGGTGGAATGCTTGCCTAGCATGCATGGGGCCTTAGATTTGATTATCAATACCTTAAAAACAAAACAGAAACCCTGTGGTGATATCTTGCTTTTACAAATAAAGCTTGTCTGAAGATCAGAGGATGGAGCTTGCCACTAGCTAACCAAAGAGGTCTGGAGGTCTGCACAGATAGACAGGAAGTGAGCTAGCAGGGTGGAAACAGGACATAAGCAGGGAGAAACAGGAACTCGCTCTCCTGTCTGCAGAGACGCTAAGGAGGTAAGGTGTGGCAGTGGTTTGCTCCTTCTCTCTGACCTCTCAGCATTTTCCTCTATATCTGACTCCGGGTTTTTATTAATTAGACCAATTAAGAATTCCATCTACATTTTGGCACTCAATATGGGGCATGAACCCATGATCCTGAGATTAAGAGTGTCATGTTCTACCAACTGAGCTAGCTGGGTGGTAGTGGCAGTGCATGCCTTTAATCCCAGCACTGGGGAGGCAGAGGCAGGTGGGTCTCTGTGAGTTCAAGACCAGTCTGATCTACAAAGCGAGTTCCTGGAAAGCTCCATCCTCTGACCATCAGACAGGCTTTATTTGTACAAGCAGGATGTCACCACAAAACCCTCCTCTAAAAGCATTTTAAAAATCCAAAACAAAAGCCAGGTGGTGGTGGTGCATGCCTTTAATCCCAGCATGCCTTTAATCTCTCAGCAGGGAGAGGAAGGTGGATCTCTATGAATTTCGAGGCCAGCCTGGTCTACAAAGGGAGTTCAGGACAGGCAAAGTTACACAGAGAAACCCTGTCTTGAAAAACTAAAGGGGAAAAAAAACCAAAATAAAACCTGAAAATGTGTGTGAGTACATGTGTATATATGTTTGTACATGTGGCACATTAGCTTCCAGAGGAAGACCATTCTAAATAGAAACTCTATTTCCAATACAAAATAAATCTAGTTATTATGCATAAA